TGATCGGCCTTGGCAGATTGGGGCACCGATGGAGGAGAAGAACGCGCGCCATGGCGACCGACTCCAGAAGTGGGACTGTGGGGGCCGAGGGGTGGGGGCCAAGGGGTGGGGGGGAGGATGGCTCGGCTCAAGGTGAGGAGGAGAAGGGGGGGGGGGCACCTGGCAAGGACGCACACGGCTTTGTCGACCCGGCCCTCTCTTCCTGCTGGTCTGCCCCCAGACGATTTGATCAGGCACAACCGCCGCGCCCCCCAGGCGGGGCAGAAGAGCGTGATGACACCGCGGCAGGGCTAAAACGGCGGAGTGGGCAAGGAAGTGGGAAGCACGAGCGCTCCAGGGTGCGCAGGTGCACCGAAGGAGGGGCTGCCACCTGCCCAGATCTACACAGCCACAAGGACTTAACTTGCCACATGCTCACAGCCAGGGGCTCTCCAGCCAGGGCCAATGACCGGCGAGCTTGTGCGACTCGCACGGCAGGCGCCCGGACGCCCCGACGAGGAGCCCCCCGGCAGTCACACGCCAGGCCGGGAGGGTGGCCCTCCGGACACCGGTGACCGGACCTCGCCGAGAGGCAGCTTGAGTGACCGCGCGCTCACCCTCCCCCCGTCCCCTCCCCTCCCCTCCTCCTCCTTTGATACACGTATAGGGCCCAAGCCTCGGAGTCTTGGTGATGGACAATGCCACTGGCGCGACCGAGGAACACTGGACGGATCCACAGATGCGATGGTGTATGCCAAGCATGAGCCATTCTCCGAGCTGACAGTGTGAAAGCCGGGGGCCCGCCCGGGAGGCACGGCCCCGGGCCCCATATGTCGAGGTTGTCAATAACCAGAAGGGCAGAGCAGCTGGGGACTCAAAGGAAGATGCCTCCTGAAAATGGACGGGGGGGGGGGACGGGGGAGGAAGAAACAGGGGCGGATGGAAGGAGGGGGTGGCAGGGAGGCCCGAGAGACAGGGAGACCAGAGACCTGCCGGCCAAACCACGCGCTCCCGAAACCATCCCTGTCTTTATCACTCAAAGGGGAGAAGCAGCGCAGGGGGGCTGTGGCATCGGCAAACCTCCGGCCAGATCGGGTAACAGCTCGGGGATCTGCCGATGGTGGGAAAAGCGCGAGGTCCCAACCACACCGCCCCAGGACACTTGCCAGCCCGCTGTGCCGCCGGATTGCAAGGGACATTGTTATTGCCCCGGGTGCAGTTATGCGCGCGCCCCTTTGGCGGGGTGGGTACTCTCGCGATCGGCCAGGTGTGGGCCACCCGATATTGGTCCGCGCGTAACCCTGTGGCTACTGCTTCCGAGGCTGGGGCCCTCTCATCGCCACCAGCACCCCTCCCTCCCCCGCCTCCTAAACCTCGGTCTCGCGCCTGCCATTTAACGGCAACACTTTTCCATGTGCATTGGCTCCACAGGGATGCCAATGCCTCTTCCGCCCATCCTCAATTGCGTGCACATCCTCCATCCACCCTCCTCCGCCTCCTCTTCGCTCTGCCGCACCCCCCCC